CCGCCTTTACTTCCCCAACTCAAAGTCAGGTACCCAGTACTGCTGGGTGAGCAGGAGGGGGCGAAAAGAATCCGAACTGAGGCTCGAACCCGGACTTTCCGCTTCGGAGACGAGCGCACTAACCGCTCCGCCACCGCACAGTAGGAAGAGGTAGGCCTCACAAAAGATGGGTTGCGGGAGCTAAGGGAGATCTGATCGAGAAGCTTCAACATCCCAATTAGTTGTTTTTAAGCACAAGGGGGCCATCCCGAAAAAATACTGTTTTGAGAAAATCGAAGGTATAAAGTTTTGCCCCTTGTTCAGTTTCTTAAAAAGACACCGAGAGTTTTCTCTATAACCAAACAAATATACACACCAATGAAATCAAACTTCTCATATAGGTAGGGCAATGCCTACTTTTGGTGTAGGTCAAGATTTTAAAAAACCCCAGAAATCCGGGTTAGTCCGCTTGTCCTTAAAAGCGACCAATTGAAAGAGCTGCAGAGTTGGCCTACTTTAGAAAACTGCATCTCCCCTCAGCTCTTGACGGCAACAGAGGATGAAAAAGTAGAGTGCATAATATTTGTTTTAGTAGAGGTTTTACGGCGTTTGAAGAGTAGAGGAGTTACAAGAGAGTAACAAACATAAAAAAGAAGAAGGAGAGATAAGGACGATAGATGTTCGATAGGAAAGAAGAAGCAAACCACACCACAGCACCCGCCAACCACCCACAGAGTGCATAATATTATAGAAAGTTATCATACATATTATATTTATAAACACAGAGGTGCTTGTGTTTATGCTGAAGTATTTTTTTTACGAGAATCTAGTATGAACTTCACTCTTGGCAGTCTTGGGTGTGTATTTTCAGCATGTATGTGCATGTATGTGCATGTATGTGCATGTATGTGCATGTATGTGCATGTATGTTCATGTGTATGCGTCCATGCGTTTGTGAGTATACACGTGTACGTTTGTGTGAGCTATGCGTGTGGGTGCGGGTGTGGGTGTGCGTGTGTATGGGTACGTGTGTGTGCGTGTGTGTGTGTGTGTGTGTGTGTGTGTGTGTGTACGTGTGTGTGTGGGTGTATGTGTGTATGTGTATGTGTATGTATGTGTATACGTGTGTGTGTGTGTGTGTGTGTGTGTGTGTGTGTGTGTGTGTGTGTGTGTG